TAGGCAGAGAAAATAGATGGGGCCTTCTTCAAAGCGATACTTGGGCAAATTCTCGTTTTGAGTTGTGTGCTCTAAACCCCGATATGAACATGCACTGCGCAAAAACCTCAATAAAAAAAGGTCTGGGGCACTTTTTTGAGCGCGCATGAACGACATGCATGGGATTTTTCATGATGACAAAGCAGAATCCGTCAGGCTACTCCTTCATTTGGCGTCCTTCATGGAAGCCTCCAATTGATGGAAGAAGCTTCTTAGAAGAAAGTGCAATGCTAAAAAGCATAGGATTTCCAATGGCGCTCTGTTGAGGGAACTCTTCCGAAAAAGCGATGTCTTTACATATTGTTGAATTGTTTCAGTTAAGCTGGTAAACATTGACAGAGACTCCTTTACCATAAGTAAATGAAGATTAAGCTTTGACTGAGAGTGCTTGAGCTGAATTAAATAATTTTTGTCGCATAGTGTGGCATTCCTCTTTGAGATCTATCTGGTTCTGAACATATCGGCTTATTGTGTTTGAAGCATTCACCATCTTTATGAGCTGAACTGTGGTGTCTTTGAAACCAAAACTCTTATATTTTAGAAAAGTAGACTCATTTTCGAAACTACTATTTCACATAAATGAAAAAGAAAACCATTGCCAATCCACGTGCACGTTTAACGATAGTCAATCTATACTAAAACTCAAATAGAAAAAACAACGTTTGCCTCAAGAAACTCCGCTCGTTTATGATATCAAGAAATGATAGAGAGATTAAAATAGAATCTAGATCTATTATAAAGAAGCATGCATAAGAGGTAATCTATGTTCTTCTAAAACTGAATGAAACTTTAAAAAGAAATTTTTGTCCAGATGCGGGACGCACCTAAATTTATCGAAAACAATATCCCAAACAAAATGGGCAAGTGCGAAGCGCCCAGCACGCCGCACTGCAGCATATCTGAAAGGAAATACAAAAGTCAATTTATAGAAATAATGTGGATACGTTAAGTGAAAAGGATTTATAAG